AATTATATGATTCTATTAAATCATCAATGTTCAATCCAACCATATAAAAATGTGAAACGTCTAAGATTTCATTGAATTACAGAAAACTAGGCAAAATTATCGAAAAAGATGTAATAAACCTTTAACTCGAATACTCTTGAGTATAACCGAGTTAAGATAGAATTATTGACATTAGTCTGCTTCGCAAAAGTGTTTCATTAATTTTATTTCTTCTTTATCTAAGTGTAAGAAAGTTGTAGAAAGTCAACTTTTTTATCAAAAAAAAAGTACATAATATTTTTTGCATAATTTATTTATCAAGTGTTTTTAGTTGAACATTCATATTGACTTTAAATTATACTAATAAATTTGACTGTGTAAAAGAACATGTTCACAAAATGAAAGTGTACGTGAACTTTCGACTGAATTGATGAAATACGAAAGTTCATGATAAGAAATGTAGTTGTAGGGAATTAAAAACTTATTACGAGTTTTATCAGATAATATATAAATACTTGTTTTATTCCATTTGTTTTTTCAAAAAATAATTGGCTAAATGATCAACACTTGAAACTATCAGGAAAGGTGAAATTTTTAATTTTTTTTTTCATATATATTAGAAAGCTCGAATATATCTTTATACGAATCGTATTGAACAGATTCTTCTTGAACGATGCGGCGACCAAATAAAATAATATTTATTGAAGCTGAAAAAAAATTGTAACTTGAAAATGAACAATTTTAACAAAATTTTGCTCTCTAAAGATATTTTCTTAATCTTGAACAAGTGAAGTTAAATTTTTTGTTAAAAATACAATCAATAGAATTTTAAATCAGCTAACTGTTTATAATTTTGACGTTATAACTTTTGTTAGATAATTTCGACTAACTGTTTCAGTCGTTCAACATTAAGAAATCCTTTATTTAGTACAATTGATATAATTTACAACTAAAGCTTGTAGATGAAATTGTGAGGTATATTTAACAATAAAATAGTTCTCAACAATATTCCAACATTAAATGCGAAAGAAACAAATTTAATGCAAAAATTTTGCCCTACCCGTTGTTAAAACAAAAAAAAATCATTCGGCCAACATTATTAATTTGCCTTGTTTCTCTCTGTTTTTCTTTCGGCTTTTTTTTTCTCTGTTGAATATATGCTCGTGTTAGTGCAATATTGAGTTGTCTGCATATGTTGATTCAACATACATAGTCAGATCAAATTCACCATGACGTCAAGTGTCGTTATTTAGTCTTGCAATGAAAATTCTTCTTATCTATAAATGAATCATTACTATAAATATATAAAATAGAGAGACAGAGAGAAACAACTGTTCAAATGAGCGACGCTTTTTTGTCCGCTATGGATTTCCACTAAAGTGGAAAACGTCTACGAATGAGATGTGGGCGTTCGTTGCCTTCGTTGATTAACATCATCCACATGCGCGAGTGCTTTTTGGTCGATGTAACTAGAGTGAGCGATCTTCTAGTTGTTTTTCTTCGCATCGATTTTTTTATTCATTCTTTATTGCATATATATATATATATACATATGCACATTAAGTAGACAACCGATGAGGACTGCGAACGATTGCGCGATGCAACGGGTTTAATCGAATAGAGAGAAACGATGCCATGTGTGTGTGCGTGTGTGAGAAAGATGCTATCATCATTATAGTGCTCGTCGAGAGAATAAGGAAAACCTCTTTCATTTCCTCTTGTATTCTTCCTTTTTTTTTTATCTTTCGATTGTTTATGGGCTTTGGATGCACAAACGCATGTATACAGTAAACAAAGTTCCATCTATGTTTCTAAGATATATGTGTGCGTCGAGAAAAAAAAAAGAATGGGAATTTTCTCTTTTCTCTATCGTAATAGAATGTCGTCGTTGAAGGCAAAATGGATTGTGCGTGTGAAAGAGAAAAAAAAATATCGATCTAATGAAAGTAAGTTGTGCAATGAAACAGCGACAACTGATGATAGATCGCTTCGGAACAATGTATTTTTTAACTTTCTCGACAACTCTATTTAACTATAGAAATTATGTAAGTAAACTTTCTTTTTTCTCGACAATCTATTTCTATAATTCATTCGATTAGCATTTTTATTTTCGAACTCTTAACATAACAAGAACATAATTCATCTCTTTTGTATTATATCAAGCTTCTTATCAAAAGAATTAATTTAATTTTTAATAGAATTAATATCAATATATATAACCTAGTAAGAAAAAAAAAATTCATTATTATTCTAGATATCAATAAAAAAAAGATCTCGTTCTTTTTTTGCTAATGTTGATATTAAAATGATAGAAAAATCGATAGCGACAAATGTTGTTGATGATTTGTACATATAATGCTGTCTATGATTATCCATCTTAACATATGGCATTCTTGAAGTTACCGAGTTTCTCTCATAGGAATGCCATCATCAAGCATGTAACGATGATGATGACGAACCAGCTAGCCGTAAGAAAAGATCAATATCCGCTCTCTTTCATATATATATATATATATATAAATACAAACACCCGTTCTGATGTAAATGTCACTGAGAATAAAGAAGCAAATCATTGTCACCATCATTAACTAGCATCAACTTCACTAGCAATTGTCGCCGTTCGTTGTCTCATTAATTGTATTGACTTAACTCTGATGGTTGCTATCTATCGTCGTCACAGTAGTATCAATTACTATGTATGCACGCGTCTTCTTTCAACAATATTCTCTATGAGAATATGTTAGGAAAAAAACTGAGTCAGTAAAAAAAAAAAAAAAAAAAAGAGCAGAAGAAAAGAAGAGTATTCAGATTGCATCAATGAAATTGACAATGGAACTATAGAGACGATCAACAGCCTATATATGTTTCAACTCTAATAATGACTTCTTCTTATGTCCTGCTTCTTTCCTATCACCATGCGCACCAACTATGCCAAATAAATCAGCACACATATAAAGACTTTTTCTTTTTTTTTTTTTCTCTATTCTTTTTTTTATATTGACTGATTACTTCTTTTTTTCTCTCGTTCCCTTTTGCTATCTTTCATCGGCGAAAGCAAATAACCGAAAAAATGAGAGAGAGAAACTAAGAGACGACGAGTTTGCCAACACATCACATCACACTGCACACACACACACACACACACACACACATACACAAATCTTATTCTTCGCTCTCTTTCTTTTTATAATGCTGGCATGGCGTGAACATAACATAGTCGATAGGGGAGAGGGGAAGAGAGAGAGAGAGAGAGAGAGAGAGAAAGTGACATTGTGCTGTAAACCCACATACACGCACAACAACACTTTTTCTCTCTGTAGACACATATATCTACAAGGAGAGTCTAATGATTAGGATGAAAATAGAAAGATCACTTTTATATATTTCAATGATACACGCAACATCTTGTATTGTTTTCTTCAATAAAGAACCTTTTAATAATCTGTCTTCATTATAATTAGAAAATCAGGTAGGTTTTATTCATTTTTTTTTCTTCTCAATATTTATTCTTCTTTTGACAATTTAATATGGCACTAATCCAAAAATTCTATATTTAGCAGAAAAGTAAAAATATGTTTGTAGTAACAACGTTATCGATTCGCAATTTTTTTTTCTTCCTTTATATTGACGTAAATCGCGCTTTTGACAGTTGTCTCGCATATGAATCAGCTGGAAGGACCACAAAAAAAAGACCAGAAGACGAATAACAAGAGATGAAGAAAAAAAAAGAACGAGAAAAAAATCGAGTATATATAGACCGACTATCACCAATCAATATTTCCTAAGATCAATAAGCAATTGTGCGAGAAGATGGCCACATCCAAAAAGAAGGCCAAAACAACAACAAGATATTGAAGGTGATTCAGAGAAAGAGAGTATGTAGATATTTGCTCGAAGGCTTAGATGAAGAATAAAAGAGCGATGATTTTGCCACCTACTAGGATTTTGTTGTTTTTTTTTTTGCCGAGAAAAAAGGTCAGAACTCCAAGTTTATATTGATTCTTAGTCAAGGATTTATTCTTTTTCTTTTTATGTTATATTATTTCAGATGTTATTTCTATATACAATATGAAATCGATAAGCGTTGGTAATGCACGCCTGAAATTTTTCTCAAACCTTTGCTCTAGCGTGAATAGGTGAGCAAAGTTTCAGGTGTATTGACCCAACACATTTTCTTCGTATATCAATACATAATTTACTTGTTCAAGTAAGTGTATCCCGATTGCTACCTGATTATGCACGAAGACAAATAATTCTACTAGCATCACCACTTGAACAAATATGCGTGTCAATTAACGTATTCCCATATTAGAAGAAAAACAAAGGAATAAAGGCAATATGTTAGATATTGGTTGATTCCTCATATTATTTCTAACGGCACATATACCAATATATATTTATAGGTGAATGCATATATAGAGTTGTTCTGAAAGAATCTTTCCTCATAGCAAGGACAAACTCAAATGTTAAAAATAGAAAGAGTATACATAACAAGAGTTTGATCATCACATATCCAAAGATAATTAGAAGAAATATATTTTATTGATTTTACCAAATAATACTTCATACATTTACTTTTTTTTTTTTTTAATGATCTTATTATTTAATCATATTCTAGAAAATCAATTCAAATGGCAAGCGTTAAAAAAACAGAATCTAAATATATTTGAACAAATTTTATTCAATTGTCTATCGAAGGATCAATATCCAGCATAGGATCTCATATCTTATTGATTATTCCATCGGTATCGGATGTTCTTTCTTTTTTTTCTTTTTTAGTTTAATTCGATTAAAAGATAAGCAGATTTACTTGTACATGTTCGACTTATTGTGATGTCTGCGATTTAATTTCTTAAAATTTTTCTTTTTCTCTTCTATTTATAAGAAGCAAAAATTAACAATAAGCTATGCCATAACAACAAATAAATAATAATAATAATAAAAAAAAAAAAAACGATGACAGTTATTTGCCTAATCAATAGCTTTTCTTGTTATGTCTTTTCCATTCAAACATCATTTGATTACAGTTCATTCTTATCCTTTTCTTTTGCTTCTTCTTCTTCTTCTTCTTCTTCTTCAGCTTGTTTTTCGTCTTGTTTCTCTTCTACAACGGACGGTGGTGTTGGTGTTGGTTTATAAAGTTCGTCAAGTTGATTTTCTTGACAATATTCTATATAAATAAAATAAAATATATTAATAAAAAAAAAAAAAAAATCTGAAATATTCTTACGATTTAGTTCAACACAAAAAATGTCTGCTAATTGTCGAGATGTTTGTACATTTTTATTTTGTCTTACAAGTAAATCAATAAGACTATCATGATGTTCTTCGAGAATATCATCACACTATAAGAATAAATGAGTAAAATGAGATATCATAACAAGGTCTATTCATTCATAGAATAACCTTCAAGTAAATAAATAAATAGATAGACATTATTTTAAAGGTTTCTAAGTTATTCACCATGGATTTTTCTTCCTCTTATTTATTAAAGATCAATAGAAAAAAAAAACAACAACTTCATATATTCAAAGTTTCTTTTTCTTTCTTTTTTTTTTTTTTTAATTTAAAATCTGTTCTACTAATTCATTGAATTATCTCTGATTATATAAAGAATAAACGTAATGATATTGTATTAATTCATATCAGTTTGCGTGACATATTTATCTATTTCTATTTTCATTGACAAATAATCCATTCAAATGAAAGATAATAGTTCTTTCACAAATCTTTTCATACAAGTAACTATTATTAATTTTTTTCAAAATATAAAACAAAACATAAAAGTTAATTTCTTCTCATTTTCTTTATTCTTTATGACAGATGGAAATCATTTTTCATCATTTGATCATCGTTTTTTTTTTCTCTCTATTTTGTTTAATCGAGATCTTTTTCCGCACGCGTTTACAATCATCATTTGGACACGACTAATATTGACACATTGTCTTCATTTACTCGAGTTTTCTTTTTTTTTTTTTTGACGTCAATCTTATTCTTTCTGTTTTATTTGAACAGAAAAAAAAAGGCAAGAGAGAGAACGACAGATATTTGTCTACTTTTAATTATACGACTACTAGCCGAGAAAGAAATGTCAACAAAGCAAGTCTCATATATATATTTTTTTTTTTTTGATGGTGCCTACCTAATAAATATGCTCAATCGATTCAATAGAGAATGAATGAGGTCACAATTCAGGAAACGGATGTTCAATAACAAACATAGAATAATGAAGATTAGAGAAAAAAGCCAACTGTACTTGTTTTAGGATATAGAATTCAATGTTTTATCTATTAGAAAAATCTTGGAATTTAGAAGTTGATTTGGCTTCTTAATAGGAATAGAATAAAAAGACATTTGTCGAATGACTCTTTGTTTTTAGCACTAATAAAAAGAAACTAGGATATAGTAGTAAATTTTTTTATTTGATTTAATCTAATTCAAGTCTACTAAGAAAAATTCTTCAAAATTTCTATGATATTTGAAATGATTAAAGGCAATCATTTTTAAAACTAATTTAAGAAATACAAAAAATGCGATTATCTGTTTTTTAGTACATTTGGTCATATTTATCATTGGCATCGTAGTGTATTTATTTATCAGTTATTTTAATTTTCATGTTTTTATTTCAATAAAATATTTACAATATCCTCAATTTATTTCTTTCATTTGAAATTGAACCATTTTATTTGTTATAAAATAGTTTGAGAATACGAAAAATTAATGTGATAAACCTCAAAATGAATAATTAGTCTTGATGAGAAGATTCTTCAGTTGAAGAATTAACTCGATCCAACTAATTTATAGTCTATTACATCTGATTTGAATGATTGTCAACGAAGAAAAAAAAAAAATATTGAATTTAAAAAAAAGAAATTCTATGAAACTTACTGCATGTTCATAAAGATTTTTGAGTGGACTTGGTATTATTTCTCGAGCTAAGAAAAACAAAATTTTAATTTCAATGTTTCTCTTTTTGAAAAATTTACCATCATGAATAAATTTTGAACAAACATTTTCGACAACATTTTCAGCATGATATCTTGTTTCAATAATTGGTACCTTTAATACAAAAATATATATTGATAAATAAAAAAACTATAATAAAATAAATATTACATCTTTTAATTTTTGATGTCCATGACCATCAACACGATATGATCCAACTTGAACACGTTCATTTGGATCAACATCATTCATATCACGAAATATTGTTTCACTCATTGATTTACATGCTAAATGAAACAAAAGAAAAACGAAAATATTATAAATAACTACATTAGATTTTATTTTCATACCTGAACAATAAAAATCTTGTTTTTTTCTTTTATTATTATTATCATTAGTTGATGATGTCTCTTGACTTGTAGTTAATTGTATAAATGTAAAGAAGAGAATAAATAAGATATATACAGAAGAATTCATCTGAAAAAAAAAAGAACACAAACGATTAATTATATTTTCATTTCTTACATAATAACATAAACTAGAAGATATTAATTTTTATTCATGCTGACAATTTTATATTGAACACCATTAATAAGTACAATAGCTCCATCAAGACTATTTGGATCAAGTTGTGTATCTGGTGTAGTAGCACTTGTTTTATCTTCATCTGTATTTATTGTTAATACAGGTGTAGAAGAAGTTTTTATTGGTTCTTCAATTGGTTTTGGTTGTATAGAAGGTGTTGAAGTTGAAGTTGAAATTGAATTTGGATTTGAATTTGTTTGAGATGATAATATTTCATCAATAGAAATTCCTGTATGTTGTTTAAATAAATCTTGTAATTGTTCATATTCTTGTTTGAGTTTTCTTATTCGTTCAGTTAATTCTTCATTTTCTTCTTCTAATTTATTTATTGATTCAACTGTGTCATCACGTTCACGACGAGATTTTTCACGAGATTTTTTAACACTATCATTATTTTTTGCACGTAATTGATTATAACGTGGATCTGTATGTGGAACAGAACGACGTTGCATTTTTCTTGTTTCTTTTTTGGTTTTTATCAAGTTCCAATTAATGGACAATTTGAAATAGATAACAAAATGATAGATGAGTTATGTCAAAAAAAAAAAAAAAAAAGAATAAGTATATTTATTGGACTTTTCTTGTTCAAATAAAGTTTGTTCGTTTGATTATGGATATGTAAGTATTAGTTTTAGTTTATAATAATAATCATAATTGAATATTAAAATTGGATGATGACAGACCTCATTTGTATTGGTTTATTATAAGGCATTTTTTTATTGAGCCATTTGTACGAATAGAATTTGTTTTCTTTTGTTTCGTTATTGATAAATATTGTCTGATATTGAAAAATAATTTTCATTTATTTTTAAATTCTTTCGATCAAATATTCATGAGATTAGTTTTCGAAAGAATGTTCATCATTTAGTGACATCTTTCAAATGTAATGTATAATTATAATCAATTTTTGTAGCTTGAAAGTTGAAAAATCATTACCATCTGCAAGTCTATACAATAATTTACGTGATGTAGAATCATTATCACATTCAAACGTGCCAAATCGTAGTACATCAACTATCAATTTTATGAATTCTTATGAAATAGAGAATCCATCTGTTAAACAGTAAACTTTTTTTTCATCGAATACTTTTCCGTAATATATTGTACATAGACCTACGGTAAGTTTAATCTTGCCACCATCAAAGACAAAATCATCAATCGAACAAACGACAAAATTCGATACGATTTCGTCATTTGACGATACAAAAAAACCATCATTAGTTCAATTCAACGAACAGAAAAATAAAGATTTTATTATAAAGAAGTAGGAATATCTATTAAATGAAACAAATTATATGATTAAAATACGTTTTTTTTTTTCATATATAGAGATCAAAATTTGCTATTAGAAGAGCCTAATGATTCATGTATTTGTTGGATATTACACAAATTAATACGATTAATTTGTGTAGCTTTATTCACGTGTCTTATTGGTATGCTTATCTTTACTTTAATCTTCTATGCTTTTGATATTTATTGGCTTGAACAACCGATTATTAATAATTCATCATGGTGGTGGTGGTTTAATGATAATAATAATAGTAATACTAATTTTACTAGATTTGATTCTGATATGATTAGTTTAACACAAACAGTTAATTATGATGATGAATACTGAGTTTCTTATGTTATTAGATTACTTCTTCTTTTTTTTGGTTTGTTTTTCTTTCTTTTATTTACTTTTAAAATAATGTAAAAGACGTCTTGTCACAGGCTGAATACTTTCATGAAAATATTTCATTGAAAAATAACATTTTTAAAAAGTGGAGTATGAGATCTTTCTATCAAATAAAAGTTTAAGAATTTTTGAAAGAGAATAATTTGACCTTTTATATTTCGCTTTTCTATATTTTGAATGAAATATGTTTGCATAAGATATTAATTTATTTTTATTTAAGTAAGTATTATGTTTCAGTTATATGTCAATGTTTGTACGATTATATGTTAATTTAAAGACCAAAAAAAGAAACATTTTTGAATATTTACATTGAATTTATTCACATTAAATAATATTATTAGGCTTTTTTTTTGTTCTAATAATTGAAAATAATTAGAGATATTTTGTTTTTTTTTTGATATAGCTTATAATTAATTTAAAGAAAATGAAATATTAAAGCTTTGATAAGAAGAAAGAAAAAAGTAAATAATAATTTGTAAATTTTAAATCATTATTATAATCATATTACCTTTCTTCGACGAATACTTGAATATTATTAAATGTTCAGATGTCTAATGAACTTATTATTATCAGAAGAATGAGCTAATATATTATCATCATTAGTAGTTGTAGGTACACATTTATTGTCGAAACATATTTCTTATTTGTCGATACATACTCAATATTGATGTCTAAAGAACATAATTCAGTTTATCTTCATCATCAGAAAATATTAAAAAAACGTTAAGAAGAAGTCGAGCGATATTGTTCGGCTATTTTTCATAATTTAAAATACATTATGTAAATGTTGAATAAGATAACCTTTATATCAAGGACGTAATTTATTTTTATATTTATTTCAAATTATAGCTATTTAAACTAAGTGAACAAACATTAAGGAATGAACTACATAATTGCTAAATAATAATGAAAAAGAAAAATTATTTTTTAATAATACTAAAGAAAGAAATAGAAATTGTTAAACTTGTGAGCAAACTTTAATATAAGCATCGTTTATTTTTTGAAAATCTGTACATTGACAATTTTTTTCACTTATTTTTATATTTATATGTTCAGCTGGTAAAACATGTCGATAAATTTCAAGTGCTTTTTCATGATATTCTTGAGCTTGTTTTATTTTTTTATTATAAAGATAGACAAAACCCATACATGACCAACAATAAGCTCTATAAGGATGATATTTTGGTAAACTTCGATGAAAAATTATTTCAGCTTGTTCATAATAGTGTAATGCTATTTTCATTTCTTTTCGTTTACGAAATACATCACCGATATCATTAAATGTTACACCAATACGAGGATGATTGGCAGGTAAATGTAGACGTTCAATTTCTAATGCTTTTTTATTAAGTATTTCAGCTTGATCTAAGTCATTTTTTTCGAGATAACAATCACCAA